AGATGTTATTAATCTAAGAGTTTGTAGGAAAATCGACAGGCACCATCAAAATCACGAAATACTAAGTCTTGCAGCAGAATTTTCTTTTGTTTACCAATTAACTGTACTGTTATCACCAAACCATTGTAATTATTTCATTTGGTCACGAATCTTTGTCTTATCACTACCAATATCAGTTAAAGGTGGTGACCGATCAAAGCGTTACAAAACCATGTAAAGATATTGCACGGAAAGCTGGTTGGAAACGCATATGCCGAGCATCATGCAGTAATTAAAGAAATCCAAGTCCTGCAAGAAATGGATCGTGCTTGCCGAGCTAAGATTAGGACCAGTTATCAGCCACTCAGTTCTCCACATAAACTGTTCGTCATTTTTTCAACTGATAATAAGATTATTGTTCAATAAACAGCGAAGCTATTTGGTAAAGATAGAGAAGCTTTCCATGTATTATCGGTAGGACTAGCAAGAAAAACGCAATTAGCGTAAGCAAAGCTTTCCTGTCATTTGCTTTTACTATTAATCATTCGTAGTATTTCGTTAAAATTTCATCTTACTTTTCGCTTATTCTGATTTCATCGTACCGCAAACTTATTGTTGTTGCATGAACCAGTACTTTTCCTTTATTGTTACATTTCATCGAAGTATAGAATTTAGACATAACAGTGGTATCCCATGTTTTCCTGAATGAAAATTTAATTTAAAACTAGATAATCGCTATATATATTTAGATAGAACATGCAGTCGAGGAGAGTTCAAACATCGACGTGCAGACAGACTATTACTTGTGTTGAAGACCAAAACGATTAAGTCTTACATTCGATGTTCTGAGTCATGACATGAATAAATGTGGGCTGTTGAAAATCAACTGTTTATTGAGGCAAGATTTGGAAATAAAATTCACGTTAAATGCATCTGCTTCTTTAAATGTGGCAGAGTAATAGCTTTACAATCATTACTTTAAAATAGTAATTCCCAACCGTTTCTTGACCAGGATTATTTTAGCTTTTTTATTTATAATATGGATCATCAGATGTAAAAATAACAAATTCTATTCGAAAATATGCTTTAGTCAAAGTTTTTAATATATTAGTTAAGCTTGGAGTAACATTATAATATAAAAAAGAAGGGATATAATCTTTATATTAGTTAAGCTTGGAGTAACATTATAATATAAAAAAGAAGGGATATAATCTTTAATAACCTTCGCGATCCAAATTTTAAATCTGCTCGCGGAGTGCTCGCAGATCACCACTTGGGAACACTAATTTAGAAGACAGTGTAGGTTATTCGTATGGTTGTTTTCTTTAGGTTTATAAACGAAACTTGTATCAGCGATATCGCGGAAACGATAAATGGATCGTAGAAGGTAAGTAGATTATTTGCAATATTTTCACTATAACGTGCATTTATATTTTTATACCTTGCTGTTAGTGTTTTTTATGAGCAATCCGAGAAATTCCTACTTTCTCTTTCATCCAACTTTCAATATTTATTCCGTTGGTACTTCATCGTCCAACTGTACTATTATTTCGCTGATTGTGCCGAAACCTGTTGGGACAGTCGTAAGAATTAATGATGAGGATGACAAATTTACTGATCAAGGGATAGTCCACTATCTGTTTCAGATATGATCATTTGTATTAAAAAAGAGCTAACGGTATGTACGGAAAATCCTATTTGCATATATTTGATTAGTCTTCATTAGAATGCTGAAAATGACTTGCTGAGCATTTCTGCTTTTATTTAATAAGCTCTAAGAAATTATTTTCTAAATTTTATCCAATAAAATATACTGTTCTGTATCAGTGTTCGACGGAAAATTATTGTTTGAAAAAACTAGTTTATATTCTTTGGATCATACATAGTTCCACAGTTTCCAGAATCCATGTAAACTTTGCTGAAAACAGAAAGTGTATTTTATTGATGGTTGGATATCCAGCATGTCATGCGGAATGTTCGTAATAGCATTAAAATCACTGAAAAGGAACTGGGTGACGATTTGTAGGATTTCTGTATCGTAACAAATCATAAGATTATTCTTCTAAGAACAGTACTTGTCAATGTTTTGTTGTATTTATACATCCTCATGTTTGCATCATCGAAAACTTTGGTTAGAGGCTTCAACTTATGACAGCTGGTTTAAAACTATAACTTTAGAACTGTAGACAAAGCAAAGGTGGTAGAATCTTTATTCGGATGAGGGAAACTGATCTTACTTGCATGTTTTAATACAGACATTTTGTGAGACATGATACTTTGAAAATATCGAATTTCCGAAGGTATGTAAAGTTTCAAAGCGCAGATGACATCATATTTTTTGGCCTTTCAGTGCAAAGTGCATTTGTGAGAATTTAATTCATCAATTGATCCAAAAATTTTTTCAGAAATTTGAATGCAATGTTCCTCCGGACCGGATGAAAGCTTTCTTATTATTGGATCGGATGAGCAGAATTCGAATACAACAATTATGGATGAGGAGACGTTAGTGTTAAAAAATGCTTAACAACGATCCTTTCTTGTCAGACAGGATTTTTTAATGTGGTTGAAATTTTTTAAAACTTTTAGGTTTGTGGAAGTTTTTTAGGACTGTCATTTGAAGTATTTCCTTTCTAGTCATGACACAGTTGTTTATAATTTAATCCTTTTTTTTCGTTTAACTTGTATCAGTTCTAGTCTCCCGAAACTTCAGGAACAACGATGCTTTTGCGGACGAGAAAATGTAGAATTATACCATGAAATGTTGAGGAGTGTAGGGAAAATGAGATCTCTGATCAGCGAAATGAAACGTATATCTGGTGCAAATGCTAAATATCATACAAGAATAGGCAGCGGAAGATGACAACAGCATCTTTGTTATCTGTTGTTTTTTTTTCTTTTTTTTGTTAATAGATTATTTTATAAGGAGAGCACTATTTTGCCAAGTATTTTGCGTTTGGTTCCAACTTTCTATTAGTGGAGCTGGTCATATGTGTGAGAATTTATTGTGGATGCCATTGCTTAGATTGTTACCACTACCATACCAGTTTCAAAACAAAAACGATTGCATCACGTTATTCAAAAAACAATTATTCATTTCTTTATAAATCCATACTATTATCATAAAAAGTCAGGTTTACTATTATTCAATAACACTGTTCGAACAATATTGTTGTAGAAAAAAAGTTGCATGTTATGCCTTTATGTGATGCAGTGCTTGCTCAACGCTTGTTTTTTATTCATGATTGTGATATACTTTAATTGTCAGTAATTTGATAATGAATCATAAGTTCGAAAAACAAACAACGTAGATTATTTTCTTGTAGAAATGTTAGTCTTTTTTGATGTTATCGATGTTAAATCTTGCATTGCCATCCTTTTATCTTGCAGAGATATTTTGTCGTATTTATTTCCGTTATTAGCCATGCAAACCTACCGTATCAGATCATCCATTCATAACTTCCTACAACGTGAAAAAGTCAACTTCATTGCTGTCTAGAAACTAATGAAATTAATGAATAACGCTTATGGTACGGGGCTTTGCATAATAACTGCAATGGATGATTTATATGTCCATGTTTCATGTGGACATCTGACGGATTTTCTGGGGCGTAGAAGTTTTGGATGGTTGATATAAGGAATCTCTCTCGGTAGATTTATGCTTCGTCATGTTTCATTGTAATTATTTCATCAAATGACGCAGTGGGACGGATGTCTTGGGAAATCTCGATAGCATTTAATGGATATATTTCTTTTTTTTCAAATGTTGGCCTCAATTGTTTGTTCACTGTATCTGTTAGATTTCATTTAAATAAAATTTTTATTCTTTAAGTCTGGAGACAGAAAATAGTATCGGAATGTTTCATGCATAACCTGATTATTTGAAGGGTTGATCGGACTTTTTTTATAAATGATTTGACATATAATTTGTAGTTTTTTAGGTGTGCTATATTGGAACAATACAGAATATATCGAATACGGTGCTACGCATAGCTGGAAGGATATGTCTGTTGTCTCGAAAGAAGCGTTAGTTTCATTTTTCATAATGATTTTTTCCGTGGACTAACGGTTGTTTTGTTTTTTGAAGGAACATGTGGTAATCTTCATTTTAAGCATATTCTTCTGTCGCTACAAAAAAAATGTATTTATATTAATTTCTATTTATTTAAACACATATTTGAAGAGAACATGCAAGTATACTCTTCTTTATGGCTTCCTTGCTTTTTCTTTTCTCAAATTCTTCAGTTGCAAATTTTATTTTATTATCCATTCAGGGATGCTGCTACGTTGTCGGTCGAGCAGCCCTCCGACCAGCTTGATGATAAAGAGAAAGTGTTTTCAAGTGTTTTTCTATCGGGACAGGGCCCATCGAAAGAAGTGAGTAACTTATTGATTCTTGATAATTATCCTAATGTTTTAAAAATTAGCGGAATATTTCAATTATTTCACAAACACTTTTTAATATATATTCAGCAGGTTGTTTTAGCTGTTAAAACTTTTTTAGCATCAGTGACATCTCTTTGTTTATAATTTTTTTTTTTTACTGCACTTTTTATTTGAGGACGTTTTCCTTTTTGTTTATCTTCTTTTGAAGTTCAACTGCCTTTGCGTGATGTTAGATTGTAGACTGAATTGTGGTTGTTTTAAATATTATTGAATATAGAATGTACAACTGATTAAATTTTTTTCGGATATTTTAGTGAATCTAATGGTGGATGTGCGTTATATATGCCAGAGTGTAACAGACTAAGAAATTGTTCACAAATAATATTGTTATCTTGAAATTCTGATTAAGATGAGAAATGTATCTGCTTTTATATAGGTTGAGAAATTTTTTTTCAGGACGACGAAATGAAAACTAACTGCAATAATACGTCAAGTGTTCCGTCGGTGGTGCCTCTGAGCCGTAAACGAAACCGACGTATTTGGACGCTTGTTAGCGGAGATGGTCACGATTTTAGATGCAATGCATGCAAAGGAATTATCAAATGCTGTTCACCTACAAATATAACTCGACACTATGCAAATAATCATCCCGAAGTACTGAAAACAGAGGAAATATCAGTCGATATGAAGAAGGAATCGGTTGAACTCGTTTTAGAGGTATGTTTTCCTTACTATGCTTACGTAAGGTTAAGCGCACATTGCGTGAATCCGATGATTTTTCTGCATCGGTTTCGTCCGAACATACAAGGAAAAAATTTTTTTTTCCGAAAATGGGGAGAATCAGTTTTGAAATGATTAACATCATGAAACAAATAGATGCTTTACAAAAGAGGACGAAATTGCATAAATGACAGGTGGGAACATTTATTTAAAAAAATATTGTGCGGTAATGAAAGTAAAAAATTTTCTTCTAAAACCAACGCCGTAAGAGAAACGATAATGTCGCTTAGTGCTGAGTATTTGTAAAAAAGTGTTTCATGAAATTACCAAGGAACAAATAAGCTCATTCTTTAGATTATTTCATGGCACAAATGAGTTTTTTAATTTCAAGGATGAGCTATGATTGCTTTTGAGCAGTATGTTGTGTGCTGTATGTTCCAATGATGCTGAAAGGCACCATCTGGCCTAATCTGAATATGACAAATTTATGCGTCGTCCAAATCACCTTATATAGAATAAATTTGACTTACTTGAAAATTGCAGAAAATTAGATCAAGTGTAATATAAGCTGCAAAATTTCTCTCACTTTTGCACTTATGTGTGAAATAAAATATACTTTCAGCAAAATCCAAAAGATGCAATGATTCCTGCAAATGATATATCAGGTGGTACCAGAATGAAGTAAGTTAATGTTTCAGGTTGGCTATTATGTACAACTGTACTTCATTATTTTTTGCTAACTTTCACAAATATCATTTAATGTCAGCAAAATGTAGTTGATAAAATTGTCAAATGATGAGAAAAAGAAAGCTGATCTTTATTATTTTCTAGGGCTGATTTAAAAACACAACAGTTCAAATAGTTTGTTTCTTTTTTTTTTGTTTTTGCTTATTGCTGGGTCACTTTTTAGTTAAAAAATTACAAGGAAAGTAGTTGTCAGTTTGGATTAGTTTCTCTAGAAATTCTCTTGTAATTTTTCAATTATCTAAGTGAAAACAGATTGTAGATGACAATGTCATGTTGAAAATGGATGTGTAAGTACTCTCTCCTTCCTCCTCTCTCAATTTTCCTATTAGTAATAACGACAGGTTTCGTTTTAGATAAAATTTGATATTAGAATATTTTGAGTTGTCTGTCATGAATTTTGTCATGAATTTGTAAGCGGAAATTTATTCCAAGAATATTAAAGAGTTTTCTTTTTTTGTGAGGTACGTTGGAATATTTACGGTTCATTCATCCGTATAAATGTGAGGTTATTTTTAGTACTGGAAAAATAGATTGGTCTTCGCCATCTATCAGGAAGATTTTGGAAAAAATTGCATCTAGAGAGTTAACGGAAAAAATGGGAACAGATATGATCGCGTATAAAACTGGATGTCAACTGTCACAGTCAACCGTTCGGAAACGAGTACAATGTTTACTTGAGGAGAAGGTAAGTTTGCTGGTCTGAATTGTTACGTTTTTTTTTTGTTTTTTTGTTTGTATAGATTTTACATTTTTTTTTTCTACTCTTTGTAGACCTTACTTCTTTTCTACATTTGCAATACTTGCACCACGTGTATTGTCTAATTAATCAGAGGAAAGGAAAAATCTTTTACACTGCTGCATAAGATATATAGCCGTAATATACGGAAATATGAATTGAAGCTTAAATGTCTTCGAAATTTATTTCTGCTGGTCTCTTTTTTAGAAAAACTATTTTAGTATGGGACATATTCATTACTGAGGAAAAATAATGAAACAATGGTGTCATCTGCACAAGTAAAAGATGGAAGAAATGAACCAGCTGGGTACTTATCTGTGGACAATGCTAGCAGCGAGGTGAAGAAGTTCGTTAAATCATCAGACAAAAAGGATCAGGAGCAGCAGTTGTCCGATGTGTAAGTTGTGGCGTAAAAAGATTGACGGTAAGCTACTGATGTTAAAATTTTAATACTATCTTTTATAGAACCGTGAGTACATCTCCTGTACCACCAATACCCCGGCAGGTCCGTTCCCTACGATTGAGCCGTTCATCGATAGTAATTCCGGAAAAGGATGATCCATCGAAAGTGCGAATATATCGGTGTAGTGCTTACGGACGAGGTAAGCAGGGTGCAACGTGCTACTATCGGTGCTCTAAATGTGATTCCCTTGCTAACAACAAGTTGAAGAATTCCGGTATGTTCTTTCTATCTGTCTTTTCTCTTACCGATTAGCTTTTCAGGTTTTGAGCTTAGATCGATGAATGCTATTTGCTTAGAAATAAGCTTTTTTTTGTCGCTTTCAGGCACATCAGCAAATGAGCATGCAAAACGTTATTTTGCCCATATTAAGACGAAGGATGGACGAATAATCGGAAATGCTTATCCAGAACATTTGCCGGAATGCAAACCAGTACCAAAGGAAGTTCAACAGCTTCAGGAAATTGACCGCGCTTGTAGAGCGAGAATTCAGGCTGGTAATCTAACACCCGAAGCAGCCAGGAACCTAGTTAGTTGTGTTATTTTTTCAGTTTTCATTTGATTAACTTTACACTTTGAAATAAGAACTGCAGTTTATGGATTTCTCTGTAACATATCTGAAAACCGTTAAATGGAATTTATATTTTTTTCAATACATTTAGGGGGCACTGGTAGCACAGAAAAACCGTGAGCTGAAGAGGCATATCCAAGATGATGATACTTTTCCGGATAAATGGAAATCACTTCCTAAGAAATACAGTCGATTGTGTCATCAAGCGGAAAGGATGAGGAAGCAAAAGAATCGACAACTTTTAAGGTTTAATTAGTTTTGGAATTTTTTGCTGCACAATTGAAAGCTCTGTATGTAAGCCATCTCACGTTATAAGCATAACAAGGAAAGAAACTGTAAAGTACAAGAACGTATATCGCAGCATACTGAAATGCGAAATGAGGTTCAGTGCTTCAAGTGTTTCAAACTCTTCAAGCAGTGCTAAACATTAATAACGTAGATAATGTGCAGAGAACAGTACCTACCATTAAGAAAAAACAATACTAATCAGTAAGCCAAGTAAGCTATTTCTTTATGATATACAAATACTTGAAATAATGTGCCTTCTTTTAGTTCATAAAGTGTATTGTTTTAGGATGATGAACAATGAACAAGGATATGGTGAAACCGAAGAAGATCAGAGGTTTAAATTACTTTCTGAGAAATTTCATTATTCGAATTAAACCTGACTATATCTATCAGCAGAAGTGTAATATTGAAATATGGTTGATTCTCAATGCTGAAGACATTAACATAGTGAAAGGAAGTAATGGAAATGGGAGAACTGATTTCGTAAAATTATAGCGGTATTGCGCATGAAGCGGAAATTATGAGCGGGCGTTTCAAGCATCCACCACTGATCATATTTGAACCAGATGGTCAGGCAGCGCGAATTTATCGTATAAACGGAAAATCGGATAAGCTTGGTATTATCTATTATCGTTGCTCGAAATGTGATGTTCTTTGTCGAAGACACAGAAGAATGGGAAATATAGAAGGTTCGATTATTAATTTTAACTTTCACCAATCATTTTGTTAATAGATCTTTATCATTTCATATTAGTTAATTGAAAGAAAATTAAAAGTTTGTTCCTGAAAAAGCAATAAAACATATTTCTTTCAAATTACTTATTTTACTTCACCCTTTTAAGAAAATCTCTTCGCTTTTCTATTAATGGTCTATCTCTAGTCTCCTTCATCTGAATTGTTTTCATCATCTTCATGGCTAAATGAAGTTGTTGAAACTACTGATAGTTCATCTTATTGACTTTCCTACTATATTTATCGAAAAACTGAGTTGGGATCCAAAACAACTGTATTTAGAAGTACAGAGATTTTGATGTTGTAATTATTTATTAGATACTGAAAAAAAAAAATAAAGATTGTGCTTTATGTGTAGGGATGACTCGAGCAACAGTGAAAGTGGAAGAGGATGCGATTCTTGAAAACATGTATCCTGCACATCATGAAGAATGCGAAGTCTTTACACTTGATATGATTAAAAATTTGGCAGAAAATCTCGATCGCTTCTATTTCGCTAAAGATTACGAACCTGTTATCCATGATTCTTCCAAAACGGTTATTCGTTATTATTTTTTTGATCTAACAATTAACAATAAATGGGTGAATAACTGGTATTATATTTCCTGTTCCTAGTTCTTACATTTGATATGTCATCAACAGAAGATGTATGGGTAATTCTGTTGATTTCCGGTTTTCTCAGTCATTATCTTTAAGCCTTTGTATTACCGGCAGTAGTTCGACCACTGAAATGTTTACCTACAAAAGATCAAATTTTTCAGGATCTCAGGTTTGCAGATGGTACACTAATCTCAAAAAATCAAATGCCTATTGTTAGTCATTCCGCAGTTGAACATGTTGTTGAAGATGACGAAATAGTTGACATAAGTAATGTTGCAAATACCGAAGAAGTGGATGATGACACGTGGGAAACAAGTCTGAATCAGGATGTACTGAATGCTAGGTAAGTTGTTGCTTATTCGAAGCTTTCAATTTATACGTTTCATTAACTTGTAGCTTTATATTCTTTTGTTTCCACATTCTGTCAAACAGATTAGTTTGACATCAGGAGATATCAACAGCCATATTCAGTGTAGTTTTTCATAAACACAGTCTGTATTTATTTTTTTCACAGAATAATGGTTTCCATATTTTTCTTATAAGCTTCTATCTAATTTTTAAAAATTTTGCAGAGAGGAAGATCATGAAGGGCCTATAGATGCTACATGCCGACGTTATTACGAATTGAACGTTGCACTGCGCCGTGTTATGATAGATTGTCTAGAGGAAATGAAAAAACTGCGAACAGAAATGAGAAATATGATGGAGGAAGGGAGACTACAATATGTGGAACAGTACGTGGAAGTAGATGACGACCATTACGAAGAAGTTATTGTGGATGAAAATGACTGATAAAGAAAGCGATGTGATATGTTTAAAATGAGTTGTATTCGGAAATCTTGTTCAATAAGGATTAGTATCCTTTCTTTTCTGTTTTATTTCTGATTTAAGGTTTCGGAGTTTATTTATTTCTTACGTTTCAAATTTTTCAAAGAATGATATCGATTGTGTACTAGATTAAAGTGGAACGATACTACTAATGAGTATTTTTTTTTTTATATATATATGCAATCACAATTTTTACTTTGTATTGATAACATATAATGTAAAATGATTTTAGAATAGTCGGCTGTTGGGACAAATTTATATATAGTGAAGTTTCGTAATTTAAACTAAGGGTGGGAAGAGAGAGGCGGTAACTTTTTTGAAATAAATAATGTGCTAATTTTAAACTACAAAAGTGGAAGACTATGGGTATGTGGTATTAATTAAAAATGTGAGATGTTAAAATAGCAAAATTAATAAGGAATAGGGATAGTTCAGGTACTCGAATCATTCGGTCGTTTAATGGGAAATGTTGTTGGTGATAGTACGGCAACATTGTTGGTTGTAATTGGATACTGCAATTAATAATCCTACCACTATCGAGCTACACCACTGTCCTATCTACGAAGTTACTTACGTGGTCACTCCTTTTTCTGATAGTTTCATTGGTAATATGTAAAAGGATTCATTGAAATGATGCAGTGAATACGATGAATTACTTATTATTTCACATTAGCTGAAGATTTGAATCTTATACCATTTCATTTTGCTATCTTTATTGTTTGATTGTAATTTTTCCAAAAGGAGAAGGAACAAGGAACAATAACTTTTTCATTATAAAATAGAATGAATGAGATATTAGCTATAATTATTACCTATTTCAAGAAAAAGAGAAAAAGTAGAGAGGATTCATTTCAATGCCATTTTTAAATTTGTATTCTCTCCAGACCCAACTTTATTTCATTTTTCCATATTTAATTTGTATTTGTATGTTTGCATGTGCTTTTTTTGTTTTCAGCAACAAATCAATCCGATTAGTTTTCTTTTTTCTTTTTTCTTTTTTTTTTTCAGTTTAAGTAAACAAATATACATATATATTGGTAAAGGAAAAATTAAAGAACTTTGAGGCTTTGAGATAAGAACTTTGAGATAAATAATTTATTTCTTAACAATACAGTAGAATTTTAGACTCTAGTAATTTAATCGCCTTAAAAAATGGCCGAATTTGTAGTTATCACCTGTTTGAGGTTATTTAAAAATTTCAGAATTTGCTTCTTTTTTTGGCATTATCGTATAACAAAATTATAATCATTTCATTTAAATATCTTTCGAAACCACTGCATGATTAACATTTTGTTTATTACAGTATTGTTAGTAAACATTAACATATTGAATAAGTATAACATTATGCGTTCTTATCAATAGTTATCACGCAGTTGTTTGATATTAATATCCGCACAATGGGTAGTCCGACTCATTTATATCAGATTTTCCGGTTCCATTTTTCTGATTTACACCTCTATGTAACTTGCTAAGATTAATTTTTTTGTTTCTTCAAAAACCGGATAAAATTAAAAATTAATGTTAATATATGACGATATAACATTCTTTGGTCACATGATCTTCCGATAATTGAGCACATTTCAGAGTTTGCTAAAATTTATTTATAAAATCGCAATAATTCCATGCTCATTATTAAGTTTCACAATATTAAACTTTTCCATAAAAATAATCAGAGGATGCTTATGGATTAATTATTTTTCAATATGCCCCAGAATTGTGTTTCTCATTCAATTCATATCTCAGTCTCCGCCTAGACTTTTTTTTTTCTTGAATCATTTTATTTAAATTAAAAAAAAACAATTAAAAATTATTGATGATATTTTTATGGAAATTATGAAAACAATGCTGTTTTTATCTGATAACTTTAATAATTGAATAAATGCATAAAATGTATGAGCATTGTTTCATTGAAATAAAATGAAATTTTAGCGATACTTTGATAACATATATAAAATATTACTGTTACAAGTAATTTTCAGAATAAATTTTCGTACATTCAATACTTCTGAACGATTGACAGAATTCATTTTATGAGCAAGAATCCTGGATGCATCTGATGTATGTTGTGAAAGAAAGAAAAATAAAAGAAAAACGAAATGAAGCACATTTCAACCATTACCATAGAAATATGGATTCAGGTATATATCAGAATTCTTCGTACTTGTATATTTAGTAAAAATTTATCAAAAAAAAAATTTTGAAAAGAGATTATTATCAACATCTGTCATGTTTCTTAGCATCAGTGATCGGATGAGAAATGAGTTAGAGTAATGATTAAATAGGATGATCAAAATTGATATTTCAATGATAGGATATTTTGGAAGATAATAAATTGATCAAATAGGATTGGAAAATTTTAATCAATTAATTAATGGAAAATTACCACAAAAATTAACCTTCGTCTGCTTAATATTTTTTACGAGCAAACAAAATTTTGTTAAAATTTAATTTTCCTCAATAATTTGAGCTTTAATTATTGGTCTAAAGATTTGTTTGATATTAAATGGATAAATTTAACGATTATTTTATTGTAGCTTTATTATTTTGGTAAAACAGAGACAGAAAAAAAAAAGTTCAACAGTTCTTCAATTTAGCTTCTTTTTTGTTCTTTTTTTTGTTTTTGTTTTATAGGAACACTTAACTCATTTGTCTTATCGTTTATCTTTGAATTATTTTGATAATTAAATGTTTGTTTAACTTACAATTGCAATGAAATTAATTGAAGATAAATATAATTAATAAATTATGAGACCGATCATGTACTACCATTAGTGTTTGGATAGAATGAAATGAGAAATTTCGAAATTTTTTCTTTACCAAAATTTGCATACAAGTGAAAATTGGTCACTGAAAAAAATTTTTCCTCATGTATGAATGCAATTTCTAATAAAGTCGAATAAAAATATGCAAAATTTGTCTGAAAGCAATTTAAGAAGAATTTATCAAAATAAATCATATGAAATTATTAAAATAAATTACAGAATATTAGGGAAAAGCAAGGATATCATTATTTGTATCAATGATTATATCATTTAGTGATGTTTAATTAAATCATTAACAAAATATTTCTGGATGAAATTTTCAGAGATAATTTTAATACTTTTTATGTGCAACACAACAATTATTAATTTCATATTATTATATTTTGCAGTAAAAATTTTGATAAAAATTATGAGTATTCTTCTCAATATTCTATTATAATTCAATGCATTTGAATTTCTCGAGGTTATTTCGAAGAATTTTGATAATTCAAAATTTAGGGATGATGATATAATTGAAGTGCTGGATGATACAAATAGTCATGTGAACATATACTAATGGCACTATACTGATTGAGCAAACGATACTGTTAAGTCGAATGCATGTGGACTGTCATGTGAATATTATACTAATGACGCTATACTAATTAACCACCAGACGATAATCACTTATGAAGCCGAAATATGAATGTGTAAACCATGATGGAATGATCAGCTAACAACACCTTTACAGCCAATCAATTCTGTCATACCTGGAAAATTCATTCTTTATTTGCTTCATTTTCGATATTTCATGATGTATATGAGTTGAATCTGTTAGCTGAAATATTTAGCATAATTTGGGCGCTTTTATTTATCATTGTTGTCGTAAGTGAATTTATCTTATTGATATTTTAATTATTGAGTTTATTGCTTTATAAACCAATTTATGAGAATAACAAGTTCAATTATCCATTTTTGAAATTTATTGTCCAAGTGTGAGAAGCAGAGAAAATCAAAGAAATCGGTAAGAAAAAACAAAACCAAAAAACCCAAAACACAATTGAAAAAAATAATTGATTGAAAAAAAAAAACACTCCTTAATTAAGGATTTCATTATAAGCTGAGAATAACTTATCTTTTTTATGTCATGTTACTCTTACCTATTTATCTTTATGTTATGTTACTCTTACCTATTTATCTTTATGTTATGTTACTCTTACCTATTTATCATTAAAGTACTTAATGAGCTCATTAGCTTCTTCTGTTGCTAGGTAGGCATACTACATAACTTGACAGCATGCTGCTTTTATTATTTGTTAAAAAAAAGAAAAAAAACATAGAAGAAGGAATATTGGAATCAATCGTGCGTATTTTATAAAAAATGATAGTTAAATTAAGCGAAAGATTGTATCGTCACAGAAATGTCATCTGTTTCCCAAATGCTACCTTGTCACTTCTATAGTTAATATCTTGTTAAGTTAATGAGCATTATGCAAAATTATGCTAATTTTACATGTT